AGTTCTGCTATTATCCTTATTTCTACAGATGAGGAAAAGGAACCTAAAGGAAACTAACACTGTTAGTAAATAGTAGAGCGGGGATTTGGACCCAGCCTCTTAACCATTATGCTGGTATGTCAGGAATTTTCTGAAGATTAATGAAACAAATCATGGAGAATGGTCAGCATAATGACTAACAATAAATTATTTATAAACACATTAGCCATTATTATTAATTGGCAATAGGCACATGAATACTATTCTTATACACAACATAGGCAAATATTAAATCGGAAAAAATAGTTTGTTCATCCTTTCATAGCTTTTACTTAAGAACGATTTATAAGAGGCCAATTATGTGGCTACAGGCAAACTTTAAAAATGTCAGTTAGAAATCCTTTTACTCACAATGTCCCCTAATCTTCCAGAAAGTAAATCATGTGCAGAATGTAAATAATAAAATTAGATTACCATGTTTCTATTGACAACAGAATATTTGACCACAAATATACAAATATAGCCTTTATAATGCAGCCTCAAACCATAATTTTATACACATTCACTCCAGTTTACATATTTCTTGTAAATAAGATTTCTTAAAAATACCCTAGTTGGATATAACTGTATTCTACTAAATTCACATTACAGTGAGAAAAACAAATTCAGATAATTTGTTAGTGTTCTAAGCTTTGTAGAAATGATAAAACAACTTTAAAATAGCTTCTGATAATATAAATTTGTAAAATTGAATTAACCTATCATCCTAAAAATATGCAATACAAAATTAAATAAATTTTAAAACGCAGAAAATTTAGCCACCTAATTCAAGATTGTATCTCTTATCATCTTGGAAATCTGATATACCAATTCAAAATTACTATTTGAATTACCATCAGAATTCCTGAAACTCTATTTGTAGTGGAAGATTCCAATTGCATCTGGTTTTATGTCACTTAAAGGAAAATTCAACTGCTTTAGGACAAGTTTAAGCTTCTTTTTGAGTTTGGATCTAAATTTACAACTGAGAAAACTCAGAGCTCTTGGCTCCACTTGCTCACACCTCTTTTCTGCCCATCCCCACTTCACATCTCCAGACAACCAAAAATAAACACTCACACTAGCAATATATGAACTGACCAATCTTACGCTGCCATAGACATAAGGCAATCAGCAAAAAACAAGGATGGAAAGAATCACTGCTTTGCAAACAAGGCCTTAATGAGGTATGGAAATAAAAATCCTTTTACTGCAATGGCCCTGAGTCATTCCAAAGGAAGATTTCCCAGCTACTTCTCACACTTCCACAACACAGACATCAACACACAGCCTCTACCAAGTAGAGGCTTGAACATAAATCCACACATTAGACATTCTCTCAGATTTGGTGCTTTTTAAAATGGATCTATGGTAGCATCACCAGCAAGAAGCTTAGGTCTTAAAAATTACGCTTTCACAATCTGTCTCTAATAGGAAATTTCTATTCCATCCTGTCTTGGAACTTGGAAGACTAACTGCCCCCTCACCCCCACCGCAAAATAGGCAAAACAGTTAAAAGAAAGCCACAATGGGTGTTTTCATAACCATCCATTAGTCTCGTCCAAATCAAGCTTTAAGTGTTTAATAGTAACTAAAATATTTATTAATTCATTTGGAAACATATCACTTCTAACAGTGCTTTTTTCAGGGCAAGGCAAGCATTCATTCATGCTACTATTTTGTATTTTTACCTATCTATGCTTTCTATCTCAAAGATTTATAAACTGTGCGAAACCAACAGCTAACTACAATAACGATTCAGAGAGAGGTTGGAATAGAACATAAAAGACGAATAGTTGAAACTTTTGAAATATGAAACAAACAACTATTCTAACTGAAGAACATTTCATCTAGGAAATAAAAAAGCTCAGTATTGGAGGCTAGTTCAGTGTCTTTCTCTCTTTATCCCTTAGATGAACCATGAAAATAGGCACTAGCCTGTGAGTACAGAACCTACAAACATTGAGTCTTATGATAATTTGGCAGCAGACTTAAGAAGAAACTTAATATTCTCTGCCTCTCCGTTCCATTCCCTTCTTGTTTGTTCTTCAGATGAAGTTATGGTTTTTGATACAGGAGATTTTCGTGTTTTCTTAGCCTCATTATAGGGACAAGTGGTGGCAGGAAGTAAAAACTGGCTCAGAGAGAGAGACGACAACCTATGGAAACGCGGGCGAAGCCAACAACTGTGTAAACGAAATGGAAGTTTTGTTGACCTCATTAAGGAGGCTGGTTTCAACTAAGCTGCAGTAGAGTCGCTTAAATATAAATCATGGCCTACAGAGCTAGAGATACTTGTTACGGAGTTAGGGGAGATGACTGATCTTTTAAATGCTCTCTTAAATTTACATGAATTTCTTGTTTTGCATACTTCTAATTACTTGGTAAAACAGTGCTGGTGTCGACATCAGTAAGATTTTCAAAGAAGTACTAGGAAAATCTATAATGATTATATCTCAGGGAAGCTTGCCAGGCACTGGGAGTTCACTAATTTTAAGCTTCACTCCTCTAGTGGTGACGGAGGGCAATGAAATAGACGCATTACGGAACACGTAAGCAGCATGATGAATTGATTCGAAAACTTAATAATAACCCAGAACTTTCTGATGTAGTTTGCATCTAAACAGGCATGTAACGTGGATCATGAAGTGAGTTTGGATCCATATTTCCAAACTTTATACTAAAATAAAACTGGATATCCCCAGTGGGTTGACCAAAATTCCCTTTATTCTTTGGATACTTTATATTCGTATCTTCTAACTACCCTAACTACCATAACCCTTCCAAAGTATACCCAGGAATGATGCCCACAATAAAGTGAGATGAGTAACTGCACTTGCCTGAAATAAGTCTGAAAAATTCATTTCAAAGACCTATGATAATTTTTGGGGGGTAAGTAATAATTTCTATATTTACCAGACTGACTGGCTCAGCAGGTTCTACAATTATATAATATATTGTATTATTTTGAACTATTTTAGTTATGCTAAAATTGTATAAGATATATATATATATGTTTGAATATGGACCAGATATCCAAGCCATTAAATGTAAACTGGTAGAAATCATCTAACCACTCCACATGCCCTTAAAAAACAAACCACACATTCACACAGTCTTCCTAGGGGGCAGTCCCCAACACATAGTCTGTTTCAGTATTATGTGGTTCTTATTTTGTAGGAGACGATTTGCCAGTGATGACAAAATTAAAATTTCATTTCTTTATACATAAATTATTTCATAAGTATTCCTACCAATATGCATTATGGTTCTAAGCAAAATATATGCTTAGTGCAAAAGGGATTTAACATGGTCTTCTTTAAGGTACTTTAAATGATTGCCTTATTTGGATTTCTCAGCAAGGAGAATGACCATTTAAAGGTTTGCACCGTAGCCCCCTCTGACACTCCTGTCAGCGGCTACCTGCATGATGACACTGGTGTGAGGCCCACCAGCCTCAGGCCCTACAGGGAGACTGCTCATGCCCAACCGACACGGGGCAGCAGCCATGCTTCCACCTGAAGCCAAATTGCAAAGAAGAGGAAAAAGGACTGCTTGATATTTTTATTTGCTCTATAAAACCTACTTAAATACCAGAATTGCCTTCCTAAAAATAATTCCAATTTCTTTTTGATCACCTACCAAAACGGAGTTTCAGTTGAGAGGCCACCTTATCCAGAGATTTTTATTTTATTTTTATTTTTTGCTAGATCAGCAAAGTTTCTCCTTTTGACAGTGACCATTTTTCATAAACACTGGTAATGAAGGTATTCACTCAAAAAGTAAAATATGGACTATTTACACATTAAAAATAATCACTGTTGGCATAAAAACGAACATGTCTAATATCAGAAACTTACTCTATTTTTTGTATTATCAGAAATTTCATACCATTGCTAGCTTCAAAGGGCTTCACCAATACATACACATTGGAATATTGCACCAAAGAATTATATGGCATTTAGTTTTGTTTATTTTTAAGAATTATGATAAAAATTCACCATGGTGATTGGGAAATGACGGTTAAGGGTTTTATGGATAGAATTCTAACATGGATAATTCATTGTACTTCTAGTGAAACTTATGTTCTAAGTTCATTAAGGTCTGAAGCTTAGAAAGGAATAAGCACAAATATCCGTGAAGAAGTAATTTTTCAACAGGCTAAAGCAGAAACAAGCACAACATGTAACATATCTTTGCATATGTTGAAGTTCTAAAATTATACACAGTACCTAAATAAATGCCCATAACAGCGACCAATACACACGGATAGCCTTACTTACATGTTTAGACTTAGAACTATACGGACTAAAATAGATATCTGCATAAAATTTACATATTCATATGTATTAATCATACAAAATAATTGTAACGGTACTATGTTTAACGTATACTATTTAATTTTTAAGAAAGTAAACCAATTTCATGTATCTTCCAAATAAGGTTGTACATTTGCAACCCAATTTTTTGTTTTTACTAATTGATATTTTAGTATCAATGGTCATGGCCATAAGAACATCAGGCACACAATTTTATTGGTATTTAGAAACAATCCAGTCCAACGTTACCTTTAAACAAATGTTGTTATATTTAGTAACAAAAGGGAAAGTACCCAGAAGGAAATATCTCCAAATTCTCCTTGCTCATAGAGTAAATCAATGCAAATTGATACTGTGCTCTGGAGAATGATCAACAAGGAGCTAAAAAACACTCCAAGGTTAGAAATGTTACGCACGTGTGCCTATAATATGTATATAAACATATATACGCATTTGTGCCAAATAAAACCAGGCTGTGATACAATAATTTAGCACTGTGCAGCTCCTGAGGAGGAAAACTGATTCACAAGTCAAATTGTCTAAAGGGGAGTGAGTACGGTTAGTTTCATGGGTTTGACAACTGCAATTACAACCACCTCATAACAAAGCATGTACTGACGAAGAAACAAGGTGCAAAGAAAACAGGGGAAGGCAGCCACTCACCTTCGGTGCCATTGGGAGTCATGGAATTACTATTTCTATGAGAGTTATCGAGTTTGGGACCACTGGGGGACTCGCTACTACCACTCAGACGGCTATGCGGGCTGGTTAGATCCTGCATTTCCATAGACCTAAAGACAAGAAGCCTTCCGTGTGACAGATGTACCAAATTCATAACACTACTATTTAATGTGCTAACGACTTGACACCTTTGAAACACAGTCACACAAAAGTCCCATTGTATCTATTTTCTTAGACTCCAAATAGTCCATCTTACATTTTAACTTCGGTCATGCTTTCATAACATGTGGTGTTCAAAGGTGTCGTTTGCTTTAGCTACCCAACCAAACATTCACATGGCACTTTGAAAATCTTTTTTCTTGCACAGCTTATCAAATCGCAATGAGACTACTGTCTATTTTAATTTTAATTTTCAAAAAGAAAATGCAGTCATGTTTTTTATATTAAGAAAAAGAGAGGCATGATTTCTGTAAAAGGCAAATACGTAAACAGGTATAATAGGAAAAAAAATCACTTTTCTATGGCATCTGTTTCATCTGATAAATTAGCACTAGGTACTCCCTTATAATTTACCACCCAATTGTAATTTAATGGGTCTCCAAACCAAATAAAACACTTGAAGCCTATAGTGCAGTGACAGGGAAAGAGATAGTCCTGATGCATGTGTTTACTCTGGCAAACTGCTTAATTGTTCCTCTGTTTCCCTTGAAACAAATGCAGCATTAAAACATTATGATGTCGGCTCACTTGTTTGCTTTGTGGATTACATACAGCGTGCCCAATTGAAAAGGGATAAGGCCAACATACAGGGAGTCCCTGCGAGCATTAGCACTTGGAATACCTCAGCTGTCACTTATTCAGAGAAATAACAATTCTACTTCAATGCTGCAATTCTGCATTTTTACCATATAAAAACATTTAAATACCCCTCCCAACCTTTTTAGACTCAGTAGTTACTTATCTATAAAATTATGGTACAGAGGCCACTCCTCTGGTTCATAGTTGCAGAACTATCCATTTATATTTAATATTCTATTAATAGGAGGGGGGTTATCTAAAGCAACTAAAAACACACCTAGATACTCTTCTGCTTTCTGGCAGCCAATTTAAAAAAAAAAAAATCTAAGGCCCATTCACTTTAAACTTATGTGTTTAAAAAAGAAGAAGAAAGAAAGAAAAGAGAAAAATAAAAGGAGGGGGTATTAACGTTCCACTGAAGTGAGGACTGTCCCTGTCCCCCCTCCCAGCCAGGTCAATAAAAGCTAGTTATTTTAGAGATTGCACTTAAATAGTTTTTAAAATAGCTTAATATGAACCATGTAACTTCTAAATGAGTTTTTACTCTTCCAAATCTTCTAAATCCAGGCTAGAAATGGCTTGCAATCCAACTTTTCTCTCCTAATTCACATTACACATTCACAGTTTACCTAACACCAGAAACTATAGCCCATAATCATTTTCAAACCCAGGCTCCTATTCCCTCTCTACATACTTAAAATGTTTTACAAGCGCGCACACACACAAATTGCTAAGTAATTTCCAACAGAGGCTGTTGCTATTAATAGAAATAATTAAGAAATACTAGACAAAAATAGATATGGGTCACAGAAAGGTAATCTCCAAAAATGTCAAATATCCTTACCTGCAACTTGAGGAAACAGCAACATCTGAACTGGTTTGAGATGTTTGCACCTGTGAGCAGGGGTAAGAAATTAGAAGCTGTTGTTACTCTGCTTCAGTGTCAGCTCTTAATTATACAGAGCACATGGCTGAGAACGACAATGCTCTCTTTTAACCAAAAGAGAAAAAGGAGGATACTGCAGCAGTGAAAGGCATATTGTCTTTAAGTTGAGGTCTCCACTGTTGTTTCCTCCAGCAGGTCTACCCTCCTCCTCCCCTTGTCAGGGGGGAAGGCAGCCAAATGACGGGATAGTGATTCATCACTGGCCTATGACAGCTGCAAACGGGATTACCCCTCCCCCAATCAACATGCAAAGCAGCCTTGCCCAGGCAGCTTGGAAAAGGTGCTTGAAAAAAAAAAAAAAATAGCTATTAGCAAAATGAGTGTGTTTCACAGCAGTTCAAGAATTAATCCTCCTGCATCCTCAGAAGATCTTTCATCTTGTGCTATCACCAGCTGAAACCGAGTTCCCGCCCACCCCTTTGCCTCCTGACAGTCTCTTATCCTTATCAGGATGGTTTTCGCCTAGATTTACTATTTGCCACTTCACGTCTACTGACACGGCTTCTGGGCAACTTTCGGGCAATGCTGGGCTGACTCAAAACGGCCAAGGCAAGTGTTCACACCCCAAAGCACACCACTGGGGATGGGCTCAGTTACTCGTGCAAACAGACGTACGACTCCGCCAGCGCTTCTCCCGCACTGCCTGGCTGAAAACAGAAGCAGCAGTTAGCTTTCCGTTCAGTTTTCTGCCGTTTAAACCAACCAGGACAACGGATGGCTCCATAATCAAGTCAGTGTCCCAGTTAGCCAGCACTTGGGTGCCTTTTGTCTCCAGATGAATCAACCAGGTGAACGTGCGGGCTCTGCTAGTCCCTGTCCTTCCTCCAGAGGCAGCGCGAACTGCCAGCAGGTGAAAAGCTCAGGTGAGGGTGGGCTGCTGCCTTACAAGCTCGGGCTGACGCCTCCCAGCGAGGAGCATTCTGGAAAACGCTTAAAATGACTCAGAATTCCAAATCTTTGATGTGCATTTTCATTCAACCTGAACTGACATCAATTAGGGCTACAGAACAAAGATGAGAACTGAAGCATCTCAAATGGCATTAAAGTGATCCAACCAAATATCTGCTCTTGAGTCATTATTTTTTAAATTCTGATTGATGAAAACTAAGAAATTCTGCCTTTTTTTGGTGAGAAGAGCACATTGTTACAGTCTGAATGTCTTGGTGTAAGGTTATGTGAAATTTCTAGGTAGGGGTTTCTAGAATATGTGCAGGACGGAAAATAATTAAGAGACGCCTGAGTATTAAGTGAAAATTAATTTTAATGCCTGCAGATATGTCATTTTGTGATAGCAGGGGTCCGCAATTTTTGCCAAAAGTAATGTTCTCACACAAGATTAAATGTTTTCCTTTAGAAACTGCAGCAATCTACCTCAAGGATAAATTTTTTTTTTTCTTTCTTCTGCTTTTATACACCTGGAATAAATTATAGGTGAGAACTAACTTAGTTTTAAGAACTCTCTTGGCCCAATTATGGGAAAGAGTATGTAAAACACACTTTCTGTTAAATGTTAAAATACATTCCTATTTTAACATTGGCTAGATAGTATAATCTTGGAAATATAAGTTTAGTTTCATTGTATACTTTGCAAGTTTGATTTTGTGGCTTAACGTATCAATTAAATTTCAAAGTCAAACTTAAGAATGAACTTCAAAATAAGTCAAACTTAAAAATAAGCTATTCTAACACGTTTTCTCACTGAAAAAAAATGCATTTGCACAACAGCATTTTTTTTTAAATGCTGGCCTGACTCAGTCTCTACTGTACTTTCATACACTACAATTTTTGAAAGCCCATATCCATGATCTTCATTTCATTAAGTATACTTCAGATATATTCTTTTGTGTCTCAAGGATTATTTAAACCATGTGTTGTGTGTTACTGTATTTAAAAATGACTTTAATCAAAATAACTTTAAAACAACTAATCCTCACTTAGGCTGGTCAGCTGAATCCACATCGTGGTCCAGGAAAAATAAATCTACTCTCAAGAATGCGAATGCAGACAACAATTAGACACAGATGTGAGCAAAATTAGTTACAGTTTACAAAATGCTACACTTCACATGCTTTTAGTTTTTTATGTGTAGTACAAGATTACAGTCCAGTAAGGAAACATACTCCTAATAATGACTTATCTGAAAAGAACACCTATTTCTGATTGGTGTTGATTTTTTCTTATGTTTGGCAATATCTCTGGAAGTTTTTGTGTTTTAAAGGTCTGAGAGCATAAGGTGTTTCAAAAATCATTAACTAGGCCCATTCCCATTCAAAAAGAAAAAAAAATTATCTCATGGTTTTCAGAAAAATGCTGTTAGGTGTTCAGTAAGCTTACATTTTCTGCTTCCCATCCATAAACTTAACATGTTTCTTGTCTTCTTCTAATCTGGTATCTTTAATTCAAATGTTCTAGGAGTTTGAAAATATTTCCCATAACATTACAAATAGTCATCTTCTATTACAACGAAGTCACTTCACTTTAATGCTCTTTCAAATTCTTTGTACAGAAAACCCACAGGAGCATACTGAGAGTTGCAAAAAAAAAAAAAAAAATACAAAGAGAAAAAAAGATAGAACTTCGTAGAATTTAAATTCAAGAATTCTGAACTAGTAACTTTGACTTCTGATTAGTTAATGAGGTCTTTTAAGTTTGCCTTTTTTCTAATTAAATTTATAATTCTTCACAGATGTAACTTTTGTTGATGTTCAATTTGTCTCTCTCATTTTGTTAAACCTCACATAGTACTTCGCCAATCCATTGAATAGCCACATTAAATCTGTTAATACCATGCTCTTCAACCCCAGAAATTATTTCCAGAAGGCAAACTTGCTTTGAGAGATCATCAAACAAGACTTAAGGTACACATTTTATCACATTTTCCCTACCACAGAGCTCAGGATGCAGAGCAAAATTCATGACTTTTGCACTGTTTATTATACTTTGCTAAATTACAAATCAAAAGCATCTGACAGCAGATCATGTATGAAGCCAAAAAGTTAATAATGTTCTGTGAAAAGTAAACTGTAAATGGAAAAGGATTCTAAATCTCAGCAGCACAGAGCAAATAAAATGTAGGTACTTGTCTAAATTATGGGTTTTCCATAGGCTTTTTTGCTTGCTAGAAGCAATTTTTATAAAATGACTATAATTTAAAACTTTTTTTCTCCAAACTAAAAAGAAATTTTCAAAGTGAAAGTACTGAACTTATCTAAATAAATAGAGTTGGCAGGCAAGCTGGTTTTGCCCAACCACAGATCAACCTGAGTACTCCCAAATTTGAAAGACAATGGCAATTTTCTAATCAGAATGTATTTTATAAGAATGAGCCTTAGGCATAAATCTGCTTTTTAATCAGAATATATTCTTGCTAAAATTTTCCTCGATCAATATTTCTAACTATGGTGTCAGTGCTGTAATAAAAACCTGAACCTAAAATCGAAATGAACTTCTAGGAAGAGGCAGATGTCTTTTCAGTGTTAACACTTATTTGCTCCTTTATCAGAGACTATAAAATGAATGCTCCAACACTATTACTGATTTTAATGTAACATGCTGTATCTCGAACTTCCTCGTTTGAAGAAAGTGACAAAAATCGAGTCCCCCGTGAAAACAAAAACAAGCATTTAAACGACCCTGGTGCCACTACAGTTTTAAAAGATTGTTTTCAAAATGAGCATTCATCGAAAATGTTGAATGAAATACCTTTGCTATCTGATTAAATGGGAGAAGGAATTTTATTCTCGCTGCAAGTCTTTCTCCTCTTTCTTGTGTATTCTAAAATACGAATTTTCGCATTCAACTGGAAATTTTCTTTTGAGAAAATCATTTATCATGTCTACGAAACTCACATAGCAGTTGACTTCCTTCTGGCAATCTAAAACTGAACAGTGGCTCAATTAGGCTTCTCTGTCTGTCACCGCGAAGAATTTTCAGAATTGAAAACCCAGGGCTGTTTGCTCACTTACTGAACTCTCTGGGCCTTAGGAGAACTCAAGCAGCAAGAAAGTCAAATATCAAATATTTGATAATGCAGAAAAGCATGACTATTTATGTATGCATGTCCTCAAACCTCCAGACGGTGGGCGAAAAAACTCACAGAAGCCTAAAATAGAAGCTACTCTGAAAGACACATTAAAAAAAAAAAAAACACACACAATCCTAACCCTATAAAACTACACTTTGTGCTTAACTGCTGACTTTTTGTACCCCTTGTCATTTAAAGAAATGCAACATCAAAACACTTGTCTAAATTCAATGACAGGCCTGAATTTATTGAATTCCTGCAAAAGCTACTTAAACGTGTTCAAAAACTTCTCCCAAGAAATAGAAGCCCATGAGTCATTAGCAATATACTGATTTGCAATGACAAATAACTTTAAATGGTAATTTCAAAAGTCTAAGAATCCCGTTTTACATTTCAAGGTCCATTCAAGTCATGGAAAGTGTCAACAAGTGAAAAGTATATTAATTTGGCGAACGTTGGTTATTTCGCCTTTTAGAATACAACGCTTGGGGAAATGTGTTTATTGAAGCCAAAGGATTTCCTTCCCTAAAAAGTGGCATCAATTGATGTCTGCTATCTGTTTGTCCTCTCAAAATGGGAATCCCTTCCTCGTTTTCTCCTATCAAGCTGAGGAGTGGGTGAAAAGTTATCTGCGTTGGAGAGATTAGACACACGCACTTACCGCTTTATTCACTATCCCACAGTAGTATGAGCGGCCCGTGCAGCAAATCAGGAGAGAGGTGAAGTAACCTCCCTACAGGAGTGCAGCCGTGTGTCCTGGTCCGACCGATCACGGGCAACAGTGACCAACAGCTAATTTGTAATGGTCTCTTAAGGATGCTAAGCGCTCAGACAATCTGGGGGGCTAGGAATCCTCCTTTTGGGATGGAGCCCCTGTGGCTGACGGAGCCCTCAGGTACAAAGTGTCAGGCTCTTTTGCTCTTATTTTGCAGCAAACCCAAACACCCCCCAACCGCGCTCCTGCTACCTGGGGTCTTGCCCACGGACCGCGGGGGTCAGTCACGGGGGCTTCCCAAAGGGCCAGCGTGTACTCACAGCGCGTACATCCGCCGCATCCACCAGCTTAAGGCGCCCCTCGGAACGTTCTGGTCTAGCAGACCTCCATTCCCGACGCCGCTTGGCTCCCGGGTAAGGACGCGCGAGCTCTCAGCAGCGGCCCGCGGAGCGCGGCGCAGCTGCGAGCGGGGCGCCCCGGGCGGGGGAGGCCGGGCCGCGGGCCCAGGCGCCCGGCCGCTGCTGCTCGCTCGGGCTGCCGAGCGACTGAGCGCACACGCTGCCCCCCGCGCGGTCCCCGCCGCGCCCGCCGCCCACAGGAAGGCTCAGAGTCGGAAGTGGCTCTGCAGAGTTGCTCCCTCGCCCCAAGCTCGGAGCCATCGGCTCCCACCGTCCTGTTGGGTAACCTCTCTGCGCCCCGCGCTCGCTCCCCACCGAACAGCAGCCGCAGATAGCATCTGAGAACCCTAGACAAAGAACCAGCGCAATCTCATCCCTCGATTTGTTTGCGCAGCCTTGTAGGTCTGCCCGTGGAGCCTCGGGGCTTTTCTTGTTTTTGCAACGCAAACCACAGCTATTCTCTTGTTCTAACCTTATTGGTTTGAATGCAACAATTGAAAGGAGCCCTGCTCCGTCTGACTCAACCTTGCTGCTTAAAAAAAATTTATTATGTAAATGAACGCGCCCCATGCTATCTGGATAAACAGCTGTGCGAGAAGAGGTTCTCTGAGACACTGTCAACACACATCTCCTGCTACAGCAGCTACCAATTACGAGCTTTGGGGAGTAGTTACACGTTATCTTTTATACTTTTCCAAAAGTTTTTTTTTTTTTTTCAGGCCCTGAAACTTGGGGAATCAATACTTTTCAAGAAAAAAAAAAAATCTTTTTTTTTTTTTTTTTCCAAATGCACCAACTTACAGGTCTGGGAAAAATTTAAAAAGAGAAAGAGAGAGAGAATGGCCATTTATTTATTAAGTAGGAAAAAGGAGAAAAGAAGCAACCGTGTAAACTGTTATCAGTTTAACAATGAATGCCTGAATGATGATTCTGCAGTGATTTCTAGAATGGCTAGTTTTACAGGAACAGTTTTTTTTTTTCTTTTTTTTTTTTTGGATATGAACCAGATAGTATTTCAGTGTTAACATCTTAAAGTCATTTTGGGGAAAAGATTTATTTTATCTAGAACGTACACTTTGTTCTTTTTAAAAATGCTAACTAAATTCACAGTCTATGCATGATAATCCATAACACTTATCTGGAGAGTTGACCTATTCACATTATCACTAAATTACAGCTTCAGTTTAAAATATTTACTTACTATCACGTTTTAGGCAAATAAATGACTTCGGTTGTTAGATTGATGACAACCGTTATATTGATTTCAAATATTTAAAGAAGACATCATCGATGTGCCCATTATGTTTTAGTTTGCCAGTCCACACCAAAGTTCAAATGCAAATGTTTATTTTGATACTACTCACTTATCATAACCAATCTTGTTCTCCAAAGTAAAATCTTTACACCCATTGGATTTTCTTTAAAACTGTTTTGCCATTAACGATAATACTATTCTATGTATTTGGTAGTTTTATTAATGATAAAAAGCATCTTTCTCTCTCTTTTTTTAAGGCTCTTGCTTTCGTATGAAAAAACATTTTTGAAATCACAGTAAATTCTTAAATGATTTTATGATACATTTCCAGATCACCAATTAATAAAACAGATACACACAATCTTACCTTTTCTTTGCTAATTTGTAAATGAATGCACCATTCCCATGCAACCAAAACAAAAAGCTTCTAATGAACAAAATTCAGTATGGGCTTTCTCCCCCTCTCCCCCCTGAAAGGATGCCAATCTAAATTCCTCAGAAAAGAACGCATTGTCAAACCTAAGAGTCAGCTTAAACTGCAAACTCACCTAGGATTTCATTTTGTATGGTACCGGCAAGGAATCATGGGCTAGTCATCTGCCATATTTGGGAGGCTAGGTCAAAAATCAGTTGATTGCTATTGGATCTGTTCATATATGCAGCAGAAATAGAATTACATTACCACCTACAGCACTTTCTAAAACCAGAAGTATCAGTTATTCAATATACTAAAGTATATATGCGGAAAATAAAATACAGCACATAATGGAGGTTTCTAGTGCTGTGAAATAAAATGTGATGTTACATTGATTCAATCTATGATATCAAGCACCCACATAGTAACTGCTTTTGCTATCATATTTATTCCCAAGGTCCATAAAATAAAAATCTGAGGTGCTGGTTGGAGAATTCAACCCTGTTTGAAACTGTACATTAAGCTATTATACTCATGCTTCCCACAGTTTAAAACTTATTTTAGATGTGAAAGGATAAAATATTAGTTTTCTGATCCACGAGAGATTATTTTTGCATATCCAGGAGACACAAACTATACGAAGTCAAAACAGCAGGATACCATGTAAAGTATCTGACTTTTATATATAAATAACTTGCATATATTATAATCAAATTTATCATATTACAGTAGTTTTTATATTGAAATTCAATTATTTTTATTTATATAACCAAACAAGATACCATTAAAGAAATGATGCATGTAATAATGAGGAAAATTATGAAAAGCATGATGAAGGTAATATGACCACTAATATGACACAGGTCATGCTTCACAATTATGTAACAAAGAGCTTAGTCATTGGCTAAAAGAAATGTCCATGTGCATATGTGCCAATTTTAAATGGTTTCCTTTTCCTAAAGCAAAATTAGATGGATTAAAAACAATCACATGCTTATCCATAAATTTTATCTGGATACTACTCCTGAATATCAAGTATGCAATAATTACCATACAACTTACACCAAAAACAAGTTATTCTCCAATAAATAGCCAATATGTAAGCCATTACTAATAAGATCCAGTGTGTAGCGTACTGTTAACTTCCTATTTCTAAATTTTCACTAACTACAATTACATAACCTATCCATATCTGTTAAGGACGAAAATGGCCCCTAAATAAAGCCATACACATCACACCAGCAGTTAGAAACATTTGCTGAAAATTTGCCATTTGTAAAGACAGGTAATAGTAGAAAGCATTACCTTCTGATATTTCCTGAAGAAATTTCAACACATCAACATATGAATAGGAGCAAAGAAATTTCGAGTATGCCTTTTCCCCACTAAAGCAAAAAATAAATATATGATTGTATCTGGAAAAGGAAAACATGAAATAGGCAATGGTGACAAAGTGTTTGAATACCCTCAGAGAGACAATATCTTTCATATACTGCATCTCCAAATAGGTTTTATCTTATAGAACAAGCCGTTGCTTAGACACGTGCCTAGTTTTAGAGAAGTCTGCAATTTTGAGAGAAGTTGTTAGTGCTTTCTAATTAACAGAATTTTAAATAAAGGCATAAGTACAAAAATAAACAAATGTCCCTAATTAAAAAAAAAAAAGAGAGAGACTAGGACGGATATAAGAAATTCCTCAGAACAATCAAAAAAGTAACTGAACTTTTCTAAAACTATGAGTAAACAGTTGATTAACCAAATAAAATATAAGAAATGAACGCAGAAAACAAATGCTCACAGGCAAGTATTTCTCTCCTTTCTCCCTTCCAGTAACAGTAATAAAGATCATGAGTAATTAGGAAGTTTTCAATGAAAAATGTACTCAGAAGTTATTTTTCTTCTACTTGTGTTTAACTTTTAATAATTTTATTAAATTTTATTACCTGGTCTGGCATCAACCATCTCTTACCTCTGTTTCTACCATTCTTAGCAGATTATTGCTCAAGAATAATAGTATGGTCAGTTGCAAAACCATAATTAGCATTTAAAGGCCAATGCATTTCTCTTCAAAAGCAAAATCCTAGTTATTATTTCTTCCACACTAATAAAATCAATAAATATCTGATCAATAAAATCAACATTTTTTGATTCAGACTGTTCAAAGTGGAATGGCAAATAGAATATTCCAAAATACTGTACTTCTGGTCCCTCTGCTTCCAAATAACTCTCTGGCATTACATTCCTGGCTTTTTTATGGAACCGTTGGAACAGTGGACGGCTGACGTTAAGATTCTTGCTGGCATTTGGAGTGGTCACTTCTATGACCTCCTCTTTCCCCACTGGCACGAGACCTACAATGAGGGCCCTGCTCCCAGTAGCCTTCTGCTGAAACACAACCAAGTAAAACATCCTCTATTTATTTTAAGAATGATACTAAATCTGCCAAACTGAATGTCTACCAGTATTTTGCTAAATGTTTTCCATTCAAACTCTAACATGAATAGCTTTTAACAGTAAATTTAAGGAGGCAATTACTAACTATTCACTGTACCATGGAAAATTATTTTAATAAATATTGTAGTCTTTATACGAACACAATTTGGAAATATAATCTATTTCCTGGCCCTCTAATAAGCACATTGGTTATTACATAAGCATAATAACATTTATTTATGTAGGGTGGGAAACTTATCATACATAGTAATGACTGCCTATAGGATGTTTTTTTTGAAAATTATTATTCTAATAGAAAACTTGAGGAGCACTTATTGAAACAAATAATGATAACAAGGGCAATGGTGGATTTTTAAGGAAAGGGAATGGGATGATAGAGGTAAAAGATCTAAGAAAAATATGACATACCAGATTTTCTATTTTAAAAGCAACTTATTTTCAAAAATGGCAAACAGAGTTACTTTTTCTCCCTTCTGCCAAAAATATGTAAATAATTGTCTTGGAAGCATATGCTTAATCTCAGCAATAGCTCTTTTGCTTTCTCACACTTTCAAATGGATTTCTGTTGACATGAAGTAACCCAGAAAACCCAGATTTGTCTCCTCTTCAAACTTTTTTTTCTCAAAGCCATGGGCAAAACCAATCTTGTCAGCACCTCCCAATACTTGTAAGAGGATCTGGAAATTTGTTTTGTGTTTTCCAGTTTTCATGACAGCTGAGTTCACAGTTTTTAAATTCTTTAGAAATGTTGACTATCTCATGGAGCAGGGGAGGAAATTAATATTTACTGAGTGCTTATGCATGGCAGGCACCGTGCTAGGCGTTTTATATACATTCTTCATTTATTTTAACAAATAACATGACAATTTATCTGTATGAATCCTG